AGACATGATGCTATGGCTTCTCATCTGTAAAAGGGGAATGCATAATACAATGACTGAGATAAAAATTACTGGCGAAAAAAATATTTTGAGTGTAGTTGATGTAAGTGGGACATTCAAATGGAGCTGTGCAGGAAGTAGATGGAAATTGAAGAGTTTAGGTTTACAAATATTAGTTTGGCTGTCTCTGCATTAAGATGATATTTGAAGCAAAATTCCTGAAAGCAGAATTTATGTTTCTCTGGAAAACAAATAGTAATTATTTTCCAAGCAGGCCATACTAAGTTTTTAGTTTTGCTTATCTGGGTAAAGTAGTATTGAGTGGTTCTGACAGTTTTTCTTACAGAATCCCATTGTTTACTTGCTTAAAAAAAATGTATGTTCATAATATGATGATCCTGTAGGCTAGACCAGATGTGGAGACAAAACACAACATTGTAAAGCTCTCAGGTAAAAAAAAAAAAAAAAAAAAAAAAAAATTAGTAAAAATTTGGATCTCAATATATAGATCCTTTTGCTAATGAAATCAAGTCCTTGGCACATAGTGAAAGCTTAATAATTATTTATAGACCCAATGAGTGAAAGTCATTTCATCTTGTAGACAGGCTTTTTGATTGCTGTTTGAGACCTCCATGAGGTGGATGTCGTAGATAAAATTTGCATGAATTCATACTTGACCTCAACCCTTGCCACACCCTCAGAAACAGCAAGAGTAAAAATCATCACACCCATGTTTACCCAGAGCTTGCCAAGCTCTGTCAGAGAAGTTTGTTATGTGGTCAAAAGAGCACAAGTTTTGCAATTAGTTTGTATCCTGGCACTACCCCAGGAGGTTTGATGAGTTATTTATTTGCTTTCACAACCTTAGTCTTCATCTAAAAATGGTAAAAATAATACCTGGCCTACAGGGATCTGAAAAATGCACATTTGAGAAAGCACTTTGAAAACTGTAAAATAAGGAAATGTTGTGGCCTACTTGAAATAACTAGCAGCTTTGTGATGAAATAAAAATAGCCACAATGAGATCAACTAGGTAAACAAACAAAATCCAAAAGATTTAAAAAACTTGATTAATATAGTACAATGGCATACTAAGTTGGTGATATGGTTAGACTTTGTGTCCCCACCCAAATCTCATTTTGAATTGTAATCCCTATAATCCCTACATGTCAAGGGAGAGACCAGGTGGAGGTAATTGACTCGGGGGCAGAGGCAGTTTCCCCCATGCTGTTGTCATGATAGTGAGTTCTCACAAGATCTGATGGTTTTGTAAGGGGCTCATCCCCCTTTGCTTCCCCTCTTCTCCTTCCTGCAGCCTGTGAAGAAGGTGCCTTGCTTCCTCTTTGCCTTCCACCATGGCTGTGGGTTTCCTGAAGCCTCCCAGCCATGCTGAACTGTGAGTCAATTGAATCTCTTTCCTTTATAAATGACCCAGTCTTGGGCAGTTTTTTTTTTAATAGCAGTATGAAAACAGACTAATACAGTGGGTAAAGAGAAGTAATTAACTGTATCAATCTGGCTAGATTAAATAATTAGAAATAAAATATGAAGAAAACAGGCACATTTATAAGTACTAAATTTTAAAAGTAGCCTGTGGAGAAGAGACAAGATCATCATAAGAAACAGTTACCTTTGTCCTGAGTTGAGTAGCTCAAATCCTTCATTGATTTTTTTAAATGGTAAAACATGAGTTATCAACTGGTCCAGGTCAAATTTCCTTGCCAGGAACTCAGTCACTAGTTTTGGGACATCATCTCTGCTTTTCAAACCTGTAAATAAGGACACATTTTCTCTTTAGACATTACTAAGTAATCTTTACCTTTTATTATCTTATGTTTATTCCTTCTCTTTCCTGTACTATCACCTTCCCTGTGTTAGATAATTCCCAGCAGTGTACAAATAAGCTGTATTTGCCCCAGCATAAGAAACAAAGGTTATGCAGCCATGAAAAAGAATGAGTTCATGTCCTTTGCAGGGACATGAATGAAACTGGAAACCATCATTCTCAGCAAACTAACACAGGAACACAAAACCAAATACTCTATGTTCTCACTCATAAGTGGGAGTTGAACAATGAGAACACATGGACACAGGGAAGGGAACGACACATACCAGGGTGTGTTGGTGGATGGGGGGCAAGGGGAGGGAGAGCATTAAGACAAATACCTAATGCATGCGGGGCTTAAAACCTAGATGATGGGTTGATGGGTGCAGCAAACCACCATGGCACTTGTATACCAATGTAACGAACCTGCACGTTCTGCACATGTATCCCAGAACTTAAAGTAAAATAAAAATAAAACCAAATTAAAAAGAAACAAAGGTTTAAAACAACTCTTTTGATACCCACATCTTTTTCCATTCACCCCATATCTTTGCTCTGTAAAGAGAAATTTCTTTACTTTACAGAAAGAATTGTCTCCAGTTCATTCTTTCTGGATCCTGTTCCTTTCCTCTCATCCTCTCTGAGCCCACTCTGATTATGCTCTTGCCCCCAGCACTGTCCTGTAACAGCTATCATCAAGGTAATCTTTGAGCTCCATTTTGACCCAGACAAGGGTCATTTCTCAGTCCTGCTCTTATATGAACTGTTAGGTAGAATTGATACTGTTGGTGGCTCCCCTTTTCTCAAACACTGTATTCCCTTAGCTTCTAGATACTACATCATCACCATCATCATTGTCATTTTCCTTGCTCACTAGTTATTTCTTCCACAGATCTTTGCTGGATCCTCTACATCTCTCAGACCTCTAACTCTAAAGATTCCTAGGGCTTGGTCCTTGGTCCATTTCTCCTCTTTATCTACATTTACTTCTAGGGTGGCTGCTTCTGGTCTTGTGGCTTTCGATATACTCCACTTAAAACACTTAGGTTTGTATACCCATCCTAAACCTCTACCTGTGCTACAGACTCATACCCAATTGCCTACATTTTATAGACATCTTTATTCAGATATCTCTGTGAGTGTAACCTGCCCCAAACCACTCCTGGTATCTACCACTTCCATCATAGCCCCCAGTCTATTCCTTCCATAGTCTTCCTTCTCAATAAATGATGATAGTGACATGATTCCTGTCGCTTAGGCCCCAAAATCTTGGATTCTACTCTTTTTGCCATGCAATAACTATTTCAGCAAATCTTGTTGGCTGTGTCTTCAAAATGTATCCAAGATCTGATTACTTCTCACCAGCCCCATCACTCCAAGCCAGCATCCTTTCCTTCCAGCATTATAATAACTTCTTCCATGATCTCCCTGCTTGTGCTCTTTGCCCCATATAGAGTATTCCTCATATTGCAGCCAGAGGGAGAGTGTTAAAATGGAAGTCAGATCAGGTGACACTTCTCTCAGAAGCCTCTATGGTTTTATTTCTCTCTCAGAATAAACTCCTAAAACCTTGCAATGGCCCAAAGGCCCCATATAATATAAGGTCCTCTGATCCCAGCTGTGACTATTCTTCTGTCTTCACTCCATTGTAGCCATACTGACTGTTTCCCCATTCTTATGGTTCTTGCCAACACCCTTTTGTATTTACTATGTTCCCTTCCTGGAATATTCTTTCCCAAGATTTTTGAATATCTTATTTGTGTTTTTGCCTCAATGTTACCTTATCAAGGAGACCTTCCCTGAGCTTTATAAAATAGCATTCACCTCCACCTCCACCCTGGTCCTCTGGCACTGCCTATTACCCATCCTCTATTTTTACCTTTGCACTTGTAACCATATGGTGTACTCTGCATTCATTTATTTATTGTCAGTCTCTCTATACCAAAATGAGAGGATTCTCACACTTCCTGAGATCAGGGACTTGGTATGTTTTGTCTCTTCTCCCTTCCTAGCTCCTGGAATGGTACACTGTATACACAGCGGTGCCTGTACTCAGTATACACTCAACAAATATTTGCCGAATAATTGAATTGTATCTCTAATATTCCTGAATAATCTATAATCTTCCCACTTCCCACAAATAGTCAAAGCAAGGAGGTTTAACTTATATCTCTTATTGTTTTGTTCTTCAATTCAAGTTTTATTTTCCCTCAGAAGCCTTCTCTATAAAATCTCATCCATACCTACTGGCCTCTTGCTTTTGTTATGCCCCAAGTAATGTTGCAGAAAGAGGAAAAATTTTGTTCTCCCATGGACCAGTTTTAAATTTCAGTTCTCAACTTGAGAGCTATAGGGGCAAAAAACTTAATAGTTCCAAGTCTCAGTTTTATTATTCATTAAGTAGCTTCCTCGGAGATTTACTGAGAAATAAAATAAACTAACATATTAATGTAAAACTTTTAACGTAGAATAAATGCGAAAAAGCTCCTCTTATAATTTGTTTTATAATATCTATGGCTACACTTATTTTCATATCTTTCTTTTATATTTGTTTTTGTGTCCTTCACTATATTATGTACTTCTCTAAGTGAAGAACAATCATCTTCTCCTTTTTATACTCTTAACAAGTACTTGAACAGTTACTATTCTCTTATATTGTTTAAGGCAGACTCCAATATTAGAAGTACTCTAAAGCACCCAGTACAGCTCTGTATGAAGGCACTAGAAAACGAGACTTTGTGGAGGAGGGAAATAAAAGGATTCACTGTGTCACCTGCCTTGAGCAGAGTGACCCTGGCTCCATCTTTCCTAAAACAATATTAATTGTTGAGTGATAATCTAAGTCCTTCCAGTGTGAATCTGAACTGTTCCCATAAAATGTGACAATTCTTTTTTAGGTTGTTGTTCGTTTTGGCTTTGGGTCCGGGATTTTTGTTGGTGCTATTATGAATCGAATAAATTCATTTTAATACACATTCTTGCATATATTAATAAAAATGGATTAAATCAGAACTTCCTGTCACATAATTCATCCCTATAGAAACACTACTGGTGTCTCTCATTCAGGCCTTTGGGGAACTTCAGTTGCAGATGCTAATATCAAAAATGTGTCCACCAATATTAGTCCTACATCAAGGTGAGCAGTGGAGAATTATCTTTTGTGTTTTTATTGTCACAGTTCCATTTTAGATCCCTTCATACTCATTCTTGGAAGAAAGGCCTGAGGAAACAGGCTTCTCCCACTTGCCAAGCAACAGAGTGAAAGCCATCACTCCCCATCCAGAGGCTTTGCTTTCCTCACCTCCAAAGACACATCCCTTCCACGTGCGTCCAGTGAAGAGCAACATCGGGTCGTAGGTGAGCATCTTGGCTGATGGAGGAGCTCCTACTACCACGCTGGTCCCATAGTTCATATGGCAGGATGCCAGAGCATCAATCTGAGTTTAAAATAGAGGAGATCGTTTGCTTCCTATGTCTCTTATAGTGTAACATAAGCTCTGAAATGACCTATGTACTATGGCAAAGTCATGGAATTAAATTAAGCCATCTTCTGTTTTTTACTTGCTTTAAAAATGTTTCAGTGCAACTTTAGTCCTTAATTAAATTTCTATACACATTTGCCCTTTAAGGCAGAAAACGGCAATCAATGTGGTCAGTGTTCGTGGCATTTTCAGTGTACCATGGACTAAAACACAGGGAAAATTCTTGTGATATTTTCATACCAATATCACCACTTCAGATAAGCCTTAGAAAGCCATTTGAACTAAACTAAATTGAATTAATATACCAAATCATTTAGCATAGTTTTCTTTTTTAGTCTCAAAATTAAATAAAATACTAAAATGTGGGACAAAAGAGTCCATTTTCTTGGGAGCATTTCTGAGACTAATCTCTCATTTTCTGGTCATTAGCTCATCCAGTTATTAATAATTTAATACTTGCTAGATTGGAGCGACAGATGGCATTGTTTTTAGAAACCAGCCTTCATCAAGTAGCGACTGGAAATCAATAGGCTCTAATAATATATCCAGTATCATGTATGGCTTCATAAACTTACGACCTAAAATGCTATTTGTTGATATGAAATAAATCTAAGTGATTCACTAGGAAAAGAATATGACACAATGATAAATTAAGGACTATTTATTCCTAAATTACCAAAAGCATTAGGTGATTTAATCTGCTACTCAATCTTGAGCAAAAGTGGCTTTATTCCATTTTTCCAAGTCTCCTTATGCTACGCCAGGCTGGAGCTTTCTAGTCCCAGGAACCCTGGATCTGTTTTACAGGTCTAACTGAAGGTCTGGTGTTGCAGGTTGCTATACAGGAGGCATGTTTAGAAAACTGAAGGTTCATATTCTAGGGAAATTCAGATGAGGGCAAACAAAGCTCAGGTGTAAAGAGTGAGAAGGTCGATGGATCACAGATTTGGGGGAAGAGACCACAACATTTGGAATAATCCCTTTTCACCTCTTCTCAGTCACCTTCTGATGCTTACTTTGCTGACATTCAAGAGACAGAATCGCTTTTGCCAAGAAATCTACATACACAAGGAAGGTCATACTTAAAACAATTATCTAGAAGGGTTAACTACCTTGCCCTCTGGTCAGCTGAGAGTTGTATGATATGGTATTTAACTTTGATCCAGCGAACCTGCTCTTAAGTATTTGACTTTTTAGGCAAAATCGCTATGTGATTATCAGTTTTTGCCTGAGTAAAACTGACAATCACAGAGATATTTCCATCATTAACTATTAATAAAGTTATAGAGAATTAAATTTACCTTGTGCATATCTAATAACTTGGGTATTTTGTGGCTTCTCAAATTTTGGGTCTTACCATGGTTTCAAGACGCCCAATAACTTCAAAGGTGTACCCCACATTGTTGCCTGTCATTTCTGACAGCACCTCACTGATGGGTTTGGTAGAGTCCTTGGGGCTGATACACTCAGTGGCACCTACAGCCATGGCCTTCTCAAATTTGTCTTTGTTGAGGTCAATCCCAATGATCCTAGATGCACCAGCTGACTTACAGCCCATGATGACTGACAGGCCAACTCCTCCCAGGCCAAAGACGACGCAAGTGGAACCAGGTTTGACCTGTGGAGAGGAATGTTCTTGAACATGTTAGGTGTTAGGGTCAAAAAGTGAAACCTGAAAAGGGCCTCCAGTTAAAACCACAAATCATGAGTGAACTCCCATTCACAATTGCTACAAAGAGAATAAAATATCTAGGAATACAACTTACAAGGGATATGAAGGACCTCTTCAAGGAGAACTACAAACCACTGCTCAAGGAAATAAGAGAGGACAGAAACAAATGGAAAAACATTCCATGCTCATGGATAGGAAGAATCAATATCAAGAAAATGGCCATACGGCCCAAAGTAATTTATAGATTCAATGTTATCCCCATCAAGCTACTTTCTTCACAGAATTAGAAAAAACTACTTTAAATTTCATATGGAACCAAAAAAGAGCCCATATAGCCGAGACAATCCTAAGCAAAAAGAATAAAGCTAGAGGTATCACACTACTTGACTTCAAACTATACTACAAGGCTACAGTAACAAAAACAGCATGCTACTGGTACCAAAACAGATACATAGACCAATGGAACAGAACAGAGGCCTCAGAAATAACACCACACATCTACAATCATTTGCTCTTCAACAAATCTGACAAAAACAAGCAATGGGGAAAGGATTCCCTATTTAATAAATGATGCTAGGAAAACTGACTAGCCATATACAAAAAAACTCAAACTGGATCCTTTCCTTACATCTTATACAAAAATTAACTCAAGATGGATTATACACTTAAATGTAAAACCCAAAACCATAAAAACCCTAGAAGAAAACCTAGGCAATAGCATTCAGAACATAGGCATGGGCAAAGACTTCATGACAAAAACACCAAAAGCAATTGCAACAAAAGCCAAAATTGACAAATGGGATCTAATTAAACTAAAGAACTTCTGCAAAGCAAAAGAAACTATCATCAGAGTGAACAGGCAACCTACAGAATGGGAGGAGATTTTTGTGATCTATCCATCTGACAAAGGTCTAATATCCAGAATTTACAAGGAACGTAAACAAATATACAAGAAAAAAATGAAGAACCCCATTCAAAAGTGGGCAAAGGATATGAGCAGACAGTTCTCAAAAGAAGACATTTATGTGGCCAATAAGCATAGGAAAAAAGCTCAACATCACTGATCATTAGAGAAATGCAAATCAAACCCACCGTGGGATACCATCTCATGCCAGTCAGAATGGTGATTACTAAAAAGTCAGGAAACAATAGATGCTGGCAAAGCTATGGAGAAATAAGAAAGCTTTTATACTGCTGGTGAGAATATAAATTAGTTCAACCATTGTGGAAGACAGTATGGTAAATCCTTAAGGATCTAGAACCAGAAATATCATTTGTCCCAGCCATCCCATTACTGGGTATACACCCAAAGGAATATAAATCATTCTACTGTAAAGACACATGCACACATATGTTTACTGCAGCACTATTTACAATAGCAAAGACTTGGAACCAACCCAAATGCCCATCAATGACATACTGGATAAAGAAAACGTAGTACATATACAACATTCAATATTATGCAGCCCTAAAAAGAAATGAGATCATGTCCTTTGTTGGGACATGGATGAAACTGGAAGCCATAATCCTCAGCAAACTAACACAGGAACAGAAAACCAAACACCGCATGTTCTCGCTCATAAGTGGGAGTTGAACAATGAGAACACATGGTCAAAGAGAGAGGAACAATACACACCAGGGCCTGTTGGGGGATAGGGGATGAGGGGAGGGAACTTAGAGGATGAGGAACAGCAAACCACCATGGCACACGTATACCTGTGTAACAAACCTGCACGTTCTGCACATATATCCCATTTTTTAATAGAAGAAATTAAAAAATCATAACTCTGAGTCATTTGTAAATAAATTTAGATACACATATAAATTTTAGAAATTTGAATCTGAAGGAGATGTGGAAGAAACAAAAATTAAATCTAGAAATTTAATTTTCAATTATGTTTCTTGATAAAGGTTTTTTCTTTTATACTGTATTAGGTCAAAGATTCTTAATTCCTTGAACTCCAATTTCCTTGTGAAATTCATGTGATTAATTTAAAATTCCAAGGACCCTATCTAACATCACAGTTGATGTAAAAATGTATATTGAGAAATCAGTTTTGGTGAACTGTAACAGCATTACTGATTATAGGCAACAAACACTACTGTATTTTATTTCTGATATGCATCATAGGTGGTAATCCAAATGATTAATGATTTTATTGATCTTTATATTATCTATAACAGGTGATTTGACATAATTATACTTTTTTTCTGAGGAGTTGGTAATGTACTTATGACTCTATTTTGTAGTTATACAATAATTCTTACTTAGCTGACAAGAAACTAGGAGTAAAAGTTCTGACAAAAAGCCTGAAATACTGAGATCATTCTACCTTAACAAACTTAATAGACGGGGAAGGGACATATTTTAAAGATGGAGAAATGGTGCAGTTTGCAAATATAATCAATAAATATTCTCAAGCGTAAAAAAAACCAAAAATTCTAATCTGAATTTCATATTTTTCTTTCAGTTGATTTGGCAGCCTGATATGCAATATATTTTTTAAATCATTTTTTTTTCCCAAAACTCTTCAAGATTCCAAGGACATCATTTAAGAAAAGGAAATAAGAAACAAAGAAACTAGCCTACCCTGTTTCTTACCTTGCCAGTTTTAACAGCAGCCCCATATCCAGTGGAAAACCCACAGCCAATTAAACAGACTTTCTCAGGGGGAGCTGCGTCATCAATCTTAGCAACCGAAGATTCATCCACCACTGTGTACTCAGTAAATGTACTAGTGTTCATGAAGTGATAGACTGGTTTGCCCTTGCATGTAAATCTGGTGGTGCCATCAGCCAGTACTCCACGACCAGTAATACTATTTGATACATCAAATACATGTATTAATTAACTCAATTCAAAAATTAGCACAGGAACAATTTGAATAACATTAAAGTAAAAATGACTGAAACCTACTCGCTCCTAATGCAAAGGTTGCCATCTGGGTTGCGGCAAGCATTGCATTCTCTACATTGTGGCAGAAAGAGAGGGATGACTTTGTCACCTATAGGAAAAAAAATCATGATATAAGATGCTGTTCATTAATGTTAAAATATGAAATTAACAAATGTGAATTGAGCCCATACTGTAGGTAAAACTTTTAAAAAGATAGTCTAAGGTTTATAAAAACCATAAGGTTTGCCTTCTAAAAGTTGAGGTTTTGCCAAATTAAACATTACTCAGTAAAATCCATTCTTGTATCCTTTTATTTCCCTGAATAGTGTTAAGGATCCCTCTAATAATTCCTAGTGTGTGCTATTTCCTTTGATAGGCTAATCAAAGCCTAATTATTTCAAACTTGTGGCTTGACACCTGCATATACCTGGTTGTACTGTAGTCACTCCTTCTCCAATGCTTTCTACAATCCCAGTTGCTTCATGTCCCACAATCACTGGAAACTT